AAGACGGAAGGAGTCACTGCCAGCCACTGCCATGATGAGCAGCATGTGAAGATGCTGGTGAGCCACGAGCCACGTGGCAAGGTATAGATTTATGGAAATGGATTAATTTAAGCTATAAGAACAGTTAGCAAGAAGCCTGCCACGGCCATACAGTTTGTAAGCAATATAAGTCCCTGTGTTTACTTGGTTGGGTCTGAGTGTCTATGGGACTGGCGGGTGACAAAGATTTGTCCTGAACATGGGCAAGGCAGGAAAACTCTAGCTACACCGCGTGTTCACTGCAGCAGAGGCACACGTATCTTGGTGCTCACCAGTTCTTCTCTAGTTGGTCTTAAGGCCTGCTCAAGAAGATTGAAATCCTACCAGATACTGGAAACCTAGATGGCTCCCTCAAAACAGTGAAGCCATGGATCCTGGTGGAGGACCTACAATAGCTCCTTAACTGAGCCATTCTAATCCCTACTACATTCTTAATATGCATGTTTATACCCACAGGTAAATGTAACTCTGACTGTTTTTCAAAGAAATGTCTCTTTGCAATGGACGAAGACCATTGCAGAAAACCCCGACTGGTAAAAATTCAGAGTTGTGGAGCCCAGTCCCAACTGATACATCTACATACAGCAAACACTTGCACCTAAGACTCAGCAATCATTGCAGGGGAGATTTTGAGTCATAGAAAAATAATGGTGAGAACGTGCTTCCTAGAAATGTCAGAGAAGCTACACCAATGATGTCTTATCAACATAGCTGCCTAATATGACCAGAGCAAGACAATAATATTAAGCGAGATAACATGAAAGAGAGAAATTTCAGGAGGCCACAAATTTGAAAGAGAGCATGGGGGAAGAGTACATGGGAAGGTTTGGAAGGACTAAATGGAAGAGGAAAATGATAGATTATAATCTCAAAAGTAAAACAATGTATTTTAAAAATAACTTGATTTCAATGATATCAAATAAGCAATCCTTATTATCTACAACCAACTGCTAAGTGTTTGATTCTTCATATTAAAACACAATTAGTATCATGGTGCAGCTGAAGAGTTAATGCTCAGTGAGGTGATGTCAGACTCCACAAGAGGATGAAAGCTTGACTTATTCATTCTAAACAGTTTTACACAGTGGCTGTGAGCTTGTATATGCCTTCAGTACATTTTCTTTGATCCCATATATTCCCTTCCTATGAAATCCCATTTTCTTTGTGTATCCAAAGCTTCCTAACCCTTTATTTAGATATAAAGCATAGTGGCATTATAGCAATTATTGTCTATTTCCCATAAACTGAACTCCCATGTTATCTGACACAGTAAATTGTTCTTATAAAAGTGGGGTGATATAATTCTAAGGGACTATAGAGCAATGGGCCTGAATAAACTAAATGTATCCTTTAAAAGACAGAAAAGAAGTATCCCTATTGACTAGTCAGAATCTGATTGGCTCCAGTACATCTGTTTGTAAAGCATATTTAGAATGAAAAGTTCTATTGGTTAAGTGGGTTTTGGCCCTGGACATGATACGTGTTTTACATTTAATCTTTATATTAATAGAGCAAAGAATCTAGGCTGGAGATACATACAGTTCAGCACTTAAAAACAATCACTGTTCTTCCATGGGACCTGGGTTCAGTCCCAGCACTCAAATCTTCCAACTACAAGTTTCTACAACTCTGGGAGATCTGACACCCTTCCCCTTTCTGGCCTCTGTGGGTACACACCCACATGTGTACAAACACAAATGCAGACACATGCAAGTAAAATGGAAAACATAATAAAAAAAACAGATCAAAGATATTTTAAGTGAGAAAATGAGGCAGGGGATGGTGAATTAAGAGTGATTCCTAATTGAATGAGAGTCAAATGTGGGATTTGACTTTAGATTTACACAACACCCAAAGAAAGAATAGTGTGTTTAGTTCAACACAGGGTTTCCAAAGAAGGAGTTACTATCCCAAACAAGCAGATGTTAAACAAGTATTTATAGCTATGGTGACATTAATCAAAAATGAGTATACTTAAAGAAAATAAGCACTTGTTTTGACCAAACTGAAAGCTTTTTTTGATTTCCAAACAGACCTTAAAAAGAAATGCAAAAACATATTGTATCAACTAGTGTATTCAAGTCTTCTGTGTTGCTGAGGCTCTGGGATCTGGAGCCTTGCAAACACTAGAAACACTGCTTTATCCAGGGCTGCTCTCTGTTTAGAAATTATCAAGTGACAGGCCTGTGAGGGTCCCTTCCAAACCCAAGCCAACCAATTCAGAGTCCACAGCCCAGCTTTTTCTTCTGACTGGCCTCCTAGACTTTGGGCTGATATCTCAGTGTCCTTGAAACAGTAGCACCAACCAGATAGCATAGCCAGAAATGGGTTAAATGATTTGTTCTGTTAGTCCTTTGCCTGCGTGATCTGCATTGGTGAGTCCATCACAAAGAAACTCACAGAGCCTCTTCCTGCCAGTGTTCCTTCACTCCTGCCTCTTTCCCATCATCTCTGAAAGATGTTGCTTGTCACCTCTCTGAACTGTGAACAATCTGTGTACTTAATGACAATTGCCTCCAAATCAGTTGGCCTTAGCATAGGTAAGCAATAACAAAAAGCTTTATGTTGAAGCATCTATCTTGGAAATACCAGATTTTGTTTTTCATTTTTTCCCTGTTATCCAAATAAATTTAATAAATGTTGAATATTTATCCACAAGCCATAAGTTACTTCAGGTGGTCTTCTTCCAGAATGGAGTGCAGTGCCTAATGATATGATCTATTTTTTTTCTTTTTAATGTTTGCCCATAGAAACAAAACAAAAAATATAAATTGACCATCATGCATACATGGAATTTAGATTTTTTGTCTTTTCAGATGTCAATAGACCCTATAAAAGTTAAATATGTTAAGAGGAAACAAAATTACTCTAACATTAATTTTAATTTTAGTGGGCATTTTAAGTTCTTTATTGCATATCATTCAATTGATAATTGTATTGTCTTGTTTTCAGTACAAATGTAATTGTTATAATATGTAATATTACGTGAAGAATAGCAACTTGCCTTTTTTGGATAAATGGTCGTTTTATTCAGTTTCCTAGGGAAGGATTTGTTTAGGATTCTGAAATACTGTAACAGAAAAATGTCTTCTTGAAAGTTTTATAAAAAGCAAAACTATTTCCAAAGTACTAGAATATTTATATTTTGTTTTATATTGACAAGATGTTTAGATGCTCTGATGAAGGCAGAGCTTGATGCATTTTCTAATAATAGTTCAATACTAATTTTAATCTGACATAATAATAGCAGTTTTAATCTGGTCTTTTTGTGTTGAATAAGGTTGTAATTTCTATTGATTCACTAAAGCTGACCAAATCCTCTACTATCTTCTCTGACACATTACCTAAGTTGCTTAGTACATATCTTCAAAATCTTATGAAAAATTGTTTGGTATGTCACCGGGATAGAAATGAAGTTTTAGAAGATAAACCATATCCAAAGACATTGTACAAGCTTTATCCAAGTGTTTGCGGCAAAGCTGTGCTTGTTTGCTTGAAGCGCTCCCCCTCCTTGCCCCCTCTCAGTATTAGCTTTGAAAATTCAAAAAAAGCTCTCCGTTCAATGATTCTGTATTGGCTAACCTCCAAAGAAAAACAATGTTTCACTTCTAAATAACCACTACGTAACTCTTCCTGATAGGAAGACCTGGGAATCTTTGTTGCATCCAGCAAGTCTGTGTTCCTCGCTTTCCAGACGAAAATTTGTAATTCATATTTCCTCAGGCCAGAATTTTGAAATGAATGCCCAAAAGGGATGTTATTTGTATAAGAGGGTCTTGCAAATATACCGTCAATTCTCCTTTGAGTACGGCTCTTCTGTCTTAGAGCAGACTCTTTGTCAGAGGGGACCCTGTCACTTGTCCTGGTAGTTAAAATGTAGAAACAATCTCTCCTTGGACTGAGTCTTCACATTTTGAAAAATTGCCACAGCAAATTCCCCAGCTTGCCAAGTTGGCAGATCCTAAGCTTGGAGTTGGAGGCCAGCCAGGCATCAATGGCGCATCCCAAACCCCTGAGTCAGCATCCAGGGCTGCCATTCTCTGTCTCATGTGCAGGAAAGCATGCCACTATCTTCGTGAGCCAAGCCCTGAGCTTGATTCTGAAACCCAGACAACTTTCAGGTTGTGGCTCCATAACCTAGAGTAGGGAACACAGGAAATTTTAATCAATTTTGATATGGGAGAACTCCTTAAGTTTGATGCATTTGAACCCTCCCCCCTGTTTTTCCAGAAAGTGAGCTAGAAGTCTGAATAATTTTTTGGCTTGAGTTGTAAAACACAGGTCCTGACCCCTTGTCGTCATTAAAGATCCCATGGGCTCTTTTCAAAGGACTAAGGGGGATTAACCTTTCTGTTCTGGCTAAATTCCTAATTGGATAATTACATTCTGCCTCCCTAAATTATCGCTGTAGCTCCAATTGGATATGGAATTTTCACTTCCTGTCATAAAAGGTTGTGGGGTGTTAGGACATTTCACCCCAGGGGTGGTGCCAATTAAGTCGTTAGTGAGGTGAAATCTGTATGAGGTTTGTCTTTCTTTTTTGCAATCCTTTTCCCCACCTCCTGATTTGGAGTTTAAAATGTGTGGAAACCATTCAGTCCTTCATAATGAAAGGGATGTCATAAGTTAGCAACACTGCTTGCTGTCACATTATTTCGACGAATATAATAAAAGCAGTCAATAATTGATAAGCGTTTGCAGGAACGTTATCCTTAGAAAGAACAAAAGCATTGCTTGAAATGCTGCTTGTCCAAACCCCCGAGGAAAGGGTTTCTGGAGCAAGTTCATACACTGCATTTTTGGGAGGGAAGTCTGGGGCAGCTCCCTGTGACTGGTCGAGCTTTTGTGGATTGTTGGCTCAGCATTCACTGCAACATTGAGGCCCGGGACCAGGGCCAAGGGGAGCCAGTGTCTCTCCTGCATATGGATGCAGGCATTAACTGCATTAATGGTGGGTAGATTACACACGCTCTTGGTTTGGAAAGTAAAGGTCACATATCAGTCTCTTCAGCTGTATTTATCTGTACTGGAAATCATTGCCCACAGAATCACCTTTGAACCCCACAAGTAAGACAGCCAGAAATATCCTATGCTTAGCCAGAGGTGAGGAAAAATTAATAGTCATCTTGGGCTATTTATGTTTTATTGGGCTATTATTTATTTATAATTTCGCTGTTAAATCAGTCAAAATAGCTTTTGTGGACCAACTATAATCATGCTTGTTCTTTGAAATAAGCCATGGCACCAATAGATACTATAGTGGGTTTTGTGGTTTTATTCACAGAACACTTGAAGTGATTCCTTAGAAACATTGTGTAAAGATTATATAACTTGAGAGAAAAAAAAAATCCTTCTTGCTCCAACTCTCACACAGCTGCACTGGAGAAAAGGTGAGGTTTGGGTTCTTGTCCATGAGATAGGAAAGGAATCTAACAACCGAGATAAAAGACCACGTGTACCCAACAGATGATAAGGAAGTACTCCCTCTGCCCACTCTCTCACTAATACTGTAAATCCATCCTTCACTGTGTCACAAAAATAAACTAGTTTTCAAGAGTTTAAATGCACTGTCTCAATATTTGCAACATAAATTTAAAAAAAAAAAAACAGGGTTTCAGTTTCATCACGTTCTATTTTATGCTACTTCCTTGGCAAAATATAAGGGTTGATTTTTAAACCGTGAAGTAGGGTTTTATTTGAGAGCCATTAGGTTAATTTTTACTAACCTCACTGAGGCAAATGGCACCATCTGACTTATGAACTTCACTATTCTATTAGTGCTAACATATCTGTGTCTATTGATTACCGCTTCCCGCCCTCCCCCACCCCAGGACTTTTCTCAGCGGGAAATTTCTCCCAGGTGGCCAAATCTCTCCCCCTGAAAGTGGATATTGTACACTTGCCTGAAAGTACTACAGAAGAAGCAATGGAGCTGGGGTATTGCCGATTTTTGATTATACTTGCTTAAGTTATTTGTAGATAAGTCCCTGTCCTCCGCCAATGGCTGCAGACATCTCACCTAAGTGAATGTGGATATATGCTTAAAATTTAAATTTAATCATATTGCATGTCTTATTGTTGCTATTTTATCATTCATAATTATATCAGCACATATTTTAACTACTAGTGAAATTATTAATAACATTTTAGCATTATAAAGACTGCCAATCCAGAGTTTGTCATTACACCCATCTGCATATTTTATATTGTAAGACCTTGCCATGTATGTACCTGAGATCCGGTAGCTTATCTAACAGACCACTCATTTAAACGTCTGTTCTGGCTGATGTAATGGCAATCATGACTTCTCCTTTGAGATAAGCATGTATTTTTCATTCATTGGGATCATTCACTCAATGACTCCTTGCAATCTCACTTTAGAGATGTAATAATCCAGGATTTCAAACATGACCAAAGAATTCATCCAAAAGACAGCAGATGATAACATTGAGATAAAATTTGATATGTGTAGTAGTTATTTCTCTGATCCTAACATTTCTTTAAGATATGGACAATGTAAAAACTATACCAACTATTTCATGTGGGCACAATTACTCATTAAATAATACTAATTGAAATGTTAAAAATATTGAACAGTTTACTACAATAATTGTGGTATTACTTCAAAGGATGAAAAACTATGAGGTGTCTTTCTGGTTAATCATAACAGTCATTCTTCCAGTAATGCTAAGTATTTAACTTTCTTTGCTTTTCTTTGATCAAAATTAGTGGCACAGTTATGTACTAGTGTATACCAAACACACACACACACACACACACACACACACACACACACACACATACACACGACATACACATGCACATCTGAACATATCTCTGTAAGATATGGTAGTCAGGCAAATAATGAATAAATATTACAAATAAAAAGTTATTTATCAATTTATCTCATTGTTATTACCTCTGAAAATAGGAAATAGTTTGAGAATACTAAAGAGAACAAAACGGAAGAGCTTTCATGTTTCTCCACCCAGGCTTGTTGGCTAAGGTTTCTTTAAGGTTTGCTAACTGAACAGTTACCTAGCAAAATTGACTGGCAGGCTTCATTGTGAAGAATGCCATGTCAGCTCCTAGGCAATAATCTGTTAGTCAGTAACGCAGTTGAGTTAAACACTGAGGTGTTTAGTTTTAAGTACTTCTTCCAAATTGCTCCCAAGTGTCCCAATTTACTTCCAGACCATTGCGTCCCTATGAATAGATTCAAGTATTCAATATCATGTATCTTTCTCAGTCCACATATACACACAAATACACATACACACATACACAGAGACATACATTATTGAGGTATTCAGAGGTGTGACAAGCATGTTTTTATAGCACCTTGTCATGCCAGTATCATGAAGGTGTAGCCACCACTAAAATGCTTGAAGCATCAAGTTGTAACAATCCTGTGTATAAAACATTGTGATTATAATCATCTTTATATAATAATGCAACACTAGCTGAAAAATACACTCCTGGGAGAACCAAAGGCGGAGAAAATTGAAACACATGCAGAGGACTGGCCATAGTTCTTGCACTATGCCATTCTCTGTATATATGATAATGAAGCAGAAACCAGAATTAGGTCATGAATGCATTTGACCTTAATTGAGTCCTTGTGAAGCCAGAGGACAACGTGACAGCAGTGGGAACTGACAAAGTAGACCACCTGCTACAGTGCCTGGCCTTAAATGTTCACTGGACGGCATCAGGTGACATGAATAATTATGATCTTTCTGGCATTAAAGCCTCGATAGGCTTATTGGTTTTAAATTAATATTATTTCATTTTAGAGCACTTGATGTCAAAAGAGGAATGAGCATATTGGAAGCTAATTGGTGACATACATTCTAGCTATGTCATGATAGATAACATTATGTCTTAAGATCTACTAGAAAAATAACTCTCATATCCACCTATGTTTAACAAATATAAATTGAGTACCTTTTATCCAAAATGCTTAAAACCAGAAACTTTGCAGAACATGGATATTTAGAGTTTTAGAATGATTGCTTCACTGCAGTATAAGATGTTCCAAAACATGAGAGTATTTTGAGCATCTTGTTAATGTCCTAAATGCCTTGAAACAATTTAGTATTCAGAGTAGGGCTAACCAATTTGTCCAAATAACTTATTTCTTAAAAAATAGCACTTAGAGACCAAATATGGTAGCAACTACCTTTGATCTTGACACTAAGGAAGTAGAAAAAGGTGGATATCTGAGTTGGAGGCCATCCTTATCTACACAGTGAGTTCCAGGCTAGTCGGTGCTAATTAAGGAGACTTTATTTCTAAAAAGAGGAGAGAACGAGAGCAAATGAGTGAGTGAGAGATATAGAGGGGGGAAATTCAACTTAGATTGAAAAGCTATCATTTCTTGTAAATCACTATATTTAAGGTACTCTCATCCATGAAAGTTGAGGTCTATAGGTATATGTTAAAACCAGAGAAATCAACAGAGCTGAATCACCAAGTAACTGTGATAGAAATGCGTTACATTCAGTTCTCCTTATGTAATTGATAAAGCTGATTTAAAGTCTGCAGCTGCGCAGTTGTATGTTGCTGTTTGAGGTAGTACAGCAATGTGAGGTAACAAATGCCTTCCATTGCTTGCTCTGATGTCCTCTTCCTCTGTTGGCTTTTCTGCCTTGTATCCTCCTCAGGTGAGTGGGTGCAAGCATGTTTAAATTTAGAAATGCAAATTTAAAAAATATTCTGCTTAAGCACTTAGCTGTGAAACAGATTTCTTCCCAGTCTTATACAGACATACTTTCTCATCTGTTCTCTTTACAGGTATTTATAAACCTTATCTGAGCAAAATCAGGAACGTAAAAGAAAATTGACTGCTTCCTTATGAGCATTCTAAAGGTCCCTTAGAAAATCCTTTACAAAAACTAATCTAAAAGCATGTGCTGTCTGCTGATGAGATGGTAAACGGAACAAAGATGTGAATGCAGAATTGAGTGGCTTGGTTAATGCAGAGGAGATGTCACAAAGATAGTTATTGTACTTTCTTCATCGAAGGGATAAAGTAGTTTAGGTAGAATAAGGCCTGCAGAAAGAGGACCTAAAAGAAAAGAGAAATGAAGAGCAGAGAAGAATAGAAGCAAGTATTTGCTGACAGATGGAAAAAAAAGGGGGGGGAGGCATTGCCAAGAATTAACAATGGGTGATGTGGCTAACTGAAGAGATACATTTGCAAACTTCTATCCACTTCACACTTCACCTGCTACCTCCCAGTGAGACCCAGCGGTTTCTGACTATGTCAGTCTTCCTTCTGATTCATTTCTGGCTCTTGTCTTCCTTCTCTTCATTCTTCTTGCAGAATTCCGGCTTCTCTGCTAAATTCCTTCTGTTTGTAAGGTGCAAAGGTAACAAGTGCCAGAATCAACAGTCTTTTCTAGTCAGCACAGCTAGTGATTCAATCTGGGTGAGTAGTTACTCATAAGATGCTCATTGAGAGCATAAAGCATGGGTTGATGCCCATGGAAACAGTGTATTTCTAGCTAGACAGAGATACACATCTCCGGAAATGCAAGCCACAAGCAAAGATGCATTTGCTAGACAGAAGTTTTCTAAAGCCTCCAGTTAATTCCAATATGGTAAGTGAATTCAATTCATGAGAAGAAACAGCCTGGGCTGCAAGCCCAAAGTACAGGGGAGAACATCTTGGCATCTTTAGAAAACAAAATACAAAATGTAAATACTGCATGCCCTTGACAAAACTTGGAATGACCTTTAACACCTTCCTCTAATTTTCTAAGTTTCCCTTTATGAATGAGATATGTAATGTTTGTATGTGCATGTATGGTTTTTGTTTGTTTGTTTGTTTTTTAATTTTTTGACTATTGGTTGGTAAGGTTGGAGTACCGGTGCTGTGAATAGAATGGTTTTTTTTTTTTTTTTTCATTCTTTTAGTATTCTTCTGTTGCATCTCAGCCTCATGCAGTGGTTTCTACCTTGGATTTCAGGTGAGTCTACTGACAGGTTTGTGAAGAGACCAAGTGCTGTTCTCTATGTCTAGAACATCTGGCTTAGCAGCTCTAGGCCTGAATATGTTCCTAAAACATTTCTTGGTGCTTCTGCTGATCCCAGGACCATACTGTGAAAGCCATGCCTAATAGAAAGCATCACTGAGACCTCAACACAGTCTCAAAGCATTGAAAAGTTTTAACTCAATCCTTCATATGGATGACTGGTTGGCATATCTGCACAGTAGGGGCAAATGCAACTTGGAACCAAGGATGACCTTGGCTGCGAGACAGTATCAGATGGCTGTCATAAGTAGGATAGAGATGAAAATTATCTTAATAGAAATTCATCTGTTCTCAGGAAGCTAGGAAATCAAAAAGAAAATATCATTAAAAATGCAAGAAAGAGAAAGTTGAATGTAGGCTTCATTTGTTTTTTGGGTGAAGAGAAGTAGACTGAGAGCATGCCTGCTGAGTACTCTTACCAGTCATTTCTCAACTATAACGCTCCTTTGTGTGAGCGTTAGAGGCATGAGTGATGATTACTATTGGTTGTCAACTAGACAAGACTTAGGTTTGCCTAGGTGACAAATCTCAGGGCATAACCATGAGGAGTTATCTGGTTTAGATTAATTGAGACAAGAAAAATTACCTTGACCAGGGGCAGCAATGATCTGTGCACTAAAGTCCTGGGATTGACTGTGTGATTGAGATGAGCATAAGCATTCACTGCTCTCACCCACTGACTGCCGGTGCAGTGAGATCCCATGCCTCAAGCTTCTGCCACCAGAGCTTCCCCACCAGCACGGACCATACCTTGTTACTTTTGTCAAAACATTTTACACCAGCAATATACAAACCAGTACAGCATGTGTCTCCTGGATTCAGATCTTCTGGTTGGATTTGTTGGGCTCCACTGTATACATACTTGCTCCACAGTCACTGAATCTTTCTAAGAGAACAGCCACACACTTTCACATTCTCCATGTCCAATAAACAAGGAAATGCAGTCTTGCCTTTTATAACTACCACCTCTCTGTGTTATCTGCTTCCCAACACTTGTTCTTTCTCCTATACTACTCCTAGAATCAGAAAGCACAAAATTGCCCCCAAACTCCTATGCGAACATTAGTAATGAGTTTGACTAACATGTCTGAATTTTTTTTTAATCACTTTGACAATTCTTTGAGGAAGATAGTATGTTCTAGGCATCTTCTCAGAAGTAATTGAAGTTGATAAGGTTTCCCCCCCCCACCGCCCCAGGTCACTTGGCTGTTGAGTAGCCAAGCTCATCTAGAACTACCTATGGAGGGGAGAAGAGCCCCTCCATCACCTGCCTGTCTCTATTCTGGTCCATTTGTCCTTGGTTGCCTCTCCTTCTTCAGCCTGCACTTCACTTCCTCATGGAATCTTTTTTTTTTTCACAAGAAGGAAGGTATTCCCATTCCTATTTTGTGCTGGCTAATATTTTGTCACCTTGACACAAGTTCCAGTCACCTGGGAAGAGGCAACCTCAGCCGAGCACTGGCTTCCTTCAAGCAGGCAGGTAGACAAGTTTGAGAGGGCGGTTTCTAGTTTAATGATTGATGTGGCAGCACCCAGCCCACTGTGGGAGGTGTCATTCCCAGACAGATGTCCTAGGTTGTACAAGAGCAAGCCATTGACAGACAGCCAGGAAGCAGCATCCCTCTGTAGTCTGCTTCAGTTCCTGCCTCCAGGCTCTTGCTTGAATTTCAACCCTGACTTCTTTTAGTGATATACCATGATGCAGAAGTATTAGCCAATTAAAACCTTTCCCTCCCACAAATTGCTTCTGGATATGGACTTTATACCACAGCAATGGAAATCAAACAACACTGATCTGACATCATCATGTCTATGTGTCTTTGCTGAGTGCCTCCAATCCTGCTTTTTGTGTTGCGGATCAAGCTCACCATTCTCTTCCCTTTGGGGTATTATTCCCTTACATCCAAATATGAATTGGTGTCAGTGGCTTCATACTTTGTTCAGCACACACACACACATCTCTTTCTTTTTGACTTCATGGGACTTGTATTCTGTGGTACGATGACAAAACATGACATCTGCAGCCCATACACTAAGACGCACTTCTAGCCCCTGAAGATCCCTCTACGTTTTTTACACCCCAGATAGTAACACCTTAACAAAATGTGTACTTTCTTTCTATAAGACTTATGTATGAGTTTTAGTTGTTTGAAACATTTATTTAATGAATAACAGAGCCCCTCAAAAGAGAATGTTTTACATTATGAGTTTGAGTGAAGCTTAATTTTTGAGCAAGCACAAGGAAATGGTCTAGGTTACTTTAGGAATTCTGAGACTAACATAATGAAATTTAAAATTCATAAGGTAAATACTGATACTATTTTCTATAATATTAGAGAAGCCAATGCTTTAGGTACACACTGAGAGTCTTTACTTGTGTGTAATTTATGTTTACCTACATAAAATAAGTCTGACTTTCAATACTGCTTACCTTTTCACTTCATTTTATATTGTCATTAAGAAAGTTTCCCAAATTAATCTTGTGTTCATTTTAGAACTATTTCTCCTCCAAATATTCTTTCCCAACATTTCCAAGAATCACATTCCTCCTATTTTCTACTTTCATAGTAAGACCCAGCCCTTGACAATTACAATGGGGTCGTTCTTAACTAGATGAGGGTCTTGGAGCAAAAGCAGAGCTGACACAAAAAGACAGTGAACCCAGTTAAATCAAAAGGTAAAGGTGGAGAAAAGACACAAGCAAACAGAAAGCCTGTCCATCAAAGCAGGAGAGTGGCCCTGGATGCGCAAGAACAAGGGATGGTGTAAACACTGTGTTACATTGTCCCTTGATGGGAATTAAAAATCTGCACAGCAGTCCTGGAGTACTCTTCCTGAAGTGAAGCCTGAGGTCCTCTAGGGTCAAGCCTTGCCTGGCATATTGTAGTTATATTATTTCTGTCTTTATATTACTGATTGCAGAATGAGTCAAGGACATTATACAATTCTTCAATCTATAATGTACATAATACAATTATACATATTATCATTAAAGAAACATCAATATAAACCTACACACACACACATATATATATGTATACACACACATATATATATACATATATATATATATATATATATATATATTACTAAGATAATGTTTTGTTTTGTTTTTGTGTATGTATCTGTGTGTATATGCACATGCAGTGAGTGTGGGGTCCTGGGTGATATCAACTATTTTACTCAGCTGTTTTCCACCTTATTTTATTTATTTATTTATTTATTTATTTATTTATTTATTTATTTTTGAGACAGGAACTCTCATCAAACCTGGAGATGTTGATTTGGCTGGCCAGCAAGCCTCAGAGAGTTATCTGTCTTTATCACCCAGCACTGAGTTTATAGGCTAGTGCCATTAGATATGGGTTTTATGTAGAAGTTTGAGATCAGACTCAGGTCTTCATGCTTGTATGGCAAGTAATTTATCCACTAAGTCATCCTTTCCACCTTCTGATTTTTTTTTTTTTACTATGGACTATTTCTATGTCCTTGCATTTATTTTGAAATCTATTATTGGATATTTTATTCAAGAAAGTAAGCAAAAATAAACGTGCCACCTTTGCAATCGAACATGACTTTAAGTAACTTCAGAGTGAGGCTCTGATAATGCAGTATCATTTGTCAGTATCTCAAGGATTATCTGTTGCTATACATGTTCCCACAATCCAGTCCCTTTAAAAGGAATTCACTTACTCAGTCTGTTTTCCTGAGCAATCTACTAAAGCAATAATGAGCAAAGCCATTAAGCAGTATCAAAAATGACATCAAAAATGCCTCTGAGTTTTTAGGTTTTGACTTAGTAGCTATTATCAAGCATTGGGATTTCTTCATTTCCCTTCTCTGGGTGAACTAGATAATGTGTGGGACCACATTCCCATAAGCAACTTTGAAAAATAGAGCTTTATTAAAATGAACCATAGATGTAATGCATAGACTAGACTGATCTTTGTAGCACTCTTTGCCTAGTCTGATTGGTAGAATAAAGTGGGGCTCTTAATGAAAGCACATGGAGAGGTCATTTTCCTTTCCTGTTTTATAAATGAAGACTCAGCTGTTTGCCAGATTCTTCCTTAATATTGCACCATCAGTATTACCTATGGAATAGTGCTAAAATATAGAGGTGGACCCAACTCTAATTGTTGTCATTTCTCTGGCTTTGTTTGTACGACTATACAACTCACAAAAGCACACCAACCATGACATGTATTCAAATCCTGATTCAGAAAAACTTAAATATGAATTCAATTCTAATTCAGTAAGCTAGGTGATAGGGACAACCATGGCTCTCCAGTAAGCTGAGAGAGCCTTCTGATGCTCTTGGATGCATTTACACATCCATCTTCTGGGGAGTTACCTATCCCATCAGTATTCCTGTAGTACATTCTTGTCATTTTACTATAACTTAAATATGCTCATATGTGATTGGTGCCTTTGTGTGTCTGTCTCTCTCATAACCTCCTATTTTACATTTGATTCTGCAGTGTTATCCACTAATCAAGTTTATGAATGAATTATTCATTAGTTGTTTTAAGGAGTAGCAAGAAGCACATTTGAAAGGGATATGGAAATGAATTTTTGAGCCCAAGTGAGGGAGTTTAGTTGTAACGTATTTGTAAGTTTTTCCATTGTATTAATGAAAACACTTGTATTTGATATTGCCAACCACGTTCCACTCTTTGTGACTCTCTACTTAAGGGAAAACACAGAGCAGGGA